ATAATATAATATAACGCGCGTTATATTATGTCGCAGACGACGATCGCGGAGTGCCTCACGTACCTGGACAATGGCGTCGTCTACGTGGGCTCGCGTCTCGGCGACTCGCAGCTCGTGCGTCTCAACGTTGAGGCGAACGCTCGCCGCTCGTACGTCGACGTCATGGAGACGTTCACGAACCTCGGTCCGATCCTCGACATGTGCGTCGTTGACCTTGAGCGCCAGGGTCAAGGCCAGGTGAGGTCAATGTCAATGTCAGTTGGGGTCAGTCAAGGTCCCCTCTTGTGTGAGTGAGAGAGAGTGAGAGAGAGGCAGCGTGCCTTCCTTATACGCACCCGAGCACGTCACCAGCTGTGTGGGAGAGAGATAGAGAGAGTCATACGTAACGGCATCGGCATCCACGAGCATGCCAGCATTGACCTTCCCGGCATCAAGGGCGTCTGGCCGTTGCGTGGCGCCTCACAGAGCGCTGTCGACACCATGCTGGTGCTCTCATTTGTTGGACAGACGAGGCAAGTGACTATAATAAATAATATATAATTAAAAATATTATAATTATAATATAAAATTCATAATAAATTAATAAAATTATAATTATAATATAAAATTCATAATAAATTAATAAAATAATAAAATAATAATTATAATATAAAATTAATAAAATAATAATTACAAATAATAATATTGAATAATAATAATAATAATAATAATGATGATGATGTGTGTTCGATGCAGAGTGCTCATGTTGAGTGGCGAGGAGGTTGAGGAGACGGAGTTGCCAGGATTCGAGAGTTGCCAACAGACGTTCTATTGCGGCAACGTCTGCGACAACCAGATCATCCAGGTACGCGTCGCCTCCCGTCGCCGTGGTTACCGCACCGCGGTCCTTTTGTCGTAGCATTCGTTTGTTTGCGTGAAGATTTGAAACGAAAGATTTCGTATTTTTAACAGGAATTTTTGTATTAATTGTAATAAATATTTAATATAATAAAAATAATGTGAATAAAGATGGTAATGATGATGATAATAATAATATTAATAATAATGTCTACTGCTGTCTCCTCCCCCCCATGTGGCCAGAAAGATTTTGATTGTGTTCTTTGTACTTGTCGTCAGAAAAAACTGGAAAAGCTCTAAATTCCCTAGTCTATTTTCACGAAATAAATCTTTTCATTTTGAAATATTTTGTGGCGACCCAAATGATGAATTTAGAACTATACGTAATTGTAATTAATCTCCTCGTTTGTTTCTCGTTAAGATCACGGCCGCTTCCGTGCGTCTCGTTAGCTGCGAGACGAAGGCGCTCGTTAGTGAATGGCGCCACCCAGCGACGAAAAACATAAGCGTTGCGACGTGTAACAGTTGCCAGGTGATGTGTGCGGTCGGCAGCGAACTCTATTACCTGGAGATCTATCCTAACGAGCTAAAGCAGATCAGGTGAGAGAGACGGCGGCGACACCTAGTGTCGGGTAATTGAATTTTTCGCGAGGAGAACGACGCAACAGCGCATGATTTCAAAGATTCTGTCGAGTTCGCTTTCAATATTGTGTTTTTCTCTGATAAGTCTGATAAGCAATGTTGTTCGTCTGGATTTGACATGGAGAGAGGTGAGGATGAGAGCGATCTTAGGACGTGGAATCGCTTCTGTCACGGTTTTAACTGAAATATTTTAGTTCTAAAAACCGAAATAGTTTAGCGGTTCAGATGAGAAAAGCACTGGGGTGTGAGGATCGCGTCTACATGGATTGTGATGTTCGTATTATTTCTTCAGAATGTAACGTAAGCATCCCGTAATGTCAGCACGTGTGTCGTGACGTAAATCACACGTTTTTACATCGGCGTTAAGCGCCTAATTACCGCCCTAATTAACCTATGATAACGACCTGCGACGACCCGAGCATTCGCGGTCGCGAGCGTCTGTGCGTGACGCGGGTGTCGTCGTTGCCACGGTTACAGCATGACGACGATGGAGCATGAGGTGGCGTGCTTGGACGCGACTCCGCTCGGCAGCGAGGGAGAGCGCGCGCAACGCTGTGCCGTCGGTCTGTGGACGGACATCTCCGCTCGCGTGCTCAAGCTGCCCGGCTTCGACCCCCTCCACGTCGAGATGCTGGGAGGAGGTACGCCGAGGGGGAGAGGGGAGGGAGGAGGGTGGGAAGGGTAAGGGGAGGGAGGAGGAGGAGGAGGTTGGGGCAAGAAGCGCTGGGGAGGTGGTGAGAGGGTAGTGGCGAGAGTGGTTTGCACGATTAATAATTAAACTCGTTTACTAAATTGCGCTCATTCTCTCAAGTGCACTCGTAAGTTACATTGCGGTCGCCGGCTACATTGCGCTCATTGTTGCATTGCAGAGATCATCCCTCGCAGCATCCTCATGACAACGTTTGAAGGCATCAACTACCTGCTGGTTGCCCTCGGCGACGGATCCGTCTTCTACTTCAACCTCGCTGCCGACACCGGGTGAGCGAGCACGTTCACTTGTTTCCCGCTCTCGTTCTGCGCGCGCTGTCCGTTCGTCTGTTCCGTGTCGAACATTAGATTGTTGAGGCTTGATGTAGAAGTGTGGGAGGGAGGGAGCGGTCAGAATCAGAATCAGGGTTAGGGTTTCTGTTCTCATTCATTCGTCGTTGTCTCACCGGTATGATTTATTCTGAGACTAGATTAGGTTTAGAGTTAGTATCAAGATAAGATAAAAGATAAAGAATGGAATAAGGTTAAGGTAGCGTTAGGGTTAAAATGTCACCAAGCTAACATTCTGTCATCGTTACCATTTCTGCCATCACCATCGTCGTTGTCACCATTGTTTTCATCGTTATCACCACTGTTACCACCATCATCGTCACCGCTGCTG